GTCTCTTTATTTCCCCCTCAAAATGCACCAGATTGATGCATTTAACCTCCAAAATAAAAATAAAATCCTACCGGGGGAGCATGCCCCCGGACCCCCCTAGAGGATTTGAGGTCCACCCCCACTTAAAATCACATGGATAGGTTCCTAAATACATTTACCATTTAAAAAAAAATAGTAACCCATGTCCATATGTTTATTTGTGGGTAGTAGATTTCAACTATAGGGCTGTCACTATGGGCCCTGCCTGTACCTGTTCGCTCTGCCATCGCGTGAAGGGTCTACTAGCAAGCGACCAACAGAAAGGTTAATTTGAATGTTATTGCAAGTCACGTCACCTCTACCCCTCGCTATCACGTGAAGGGTCTGCTTTATGCGCTCCGCACCCTGCTGCGTGCTCACTAGCGCACCTCCCCCCCCCGTTCATAAAGTCAAGTACCCCTCAAAAGGTCCGGTTTATTTTATTTTAAGGATGCGCACCAAGCAACATCTCCAGGTACTCCTTTGAGAACCAAGGCGAAAAAGTGATGTGCACCCCTGTGTATAGGTATCATGAACTCAGTACTTTTAATTTATATTTCAAATTGCTGATCAATGTCATTTTCATTGTTTAAATAATGAAAAAATATATAAGAAATTAGAAACTGTAGGATGGATATGTGCCTTTATGTTTCAATACAAATACAGAGTCATTGTGCAAAAGACAGAAGTAAAGTAAACATTTAGACGCAGGCACAGGGAGAAAATGTGGAGCGTCTCTCAGGTTGAAATAATCTGAATCATGTAGGAACAAAACTCACAAAGTATTAGACATGATTTACAAAAGTTCCATGAATCAATTGCCCTGTTGAAGCAAAGCTAACATTTGGTTTTCAAGATCAGCCAAGACGATTAAACTGCCTGAACCAGCAGTACTTTCCTGAGATGCTGCACTAACTAACTGACTTGTTTTGTGACATAAGGGACCATTCAGTGAAATGGGCCGCCCCCAGGTGTCGGACAGTACGAGATAAAAAGGTGTTCAATCTAATGAACGGTCTGTAGATGTGTTCCTCACCGCTGCCGGTCTGCTTTATAGGAGGAGGTCAGCTCGTCAAACAGCGTGCAGTTCATCTCCATCAGCGTCTTCAGCACGTTGTACACCAGAGCTACGATTGTCCTGCAAAACAGCACAAACGCTCCGTGAGAAACATGACTGTGTGTGGACGTCGAACTGCTAAGAAAACGTAACTTTTTTAATGTAATAATCAACATTATCATCAGAATAGTCACGCATTTAAAGAAAACCTCCAATATATTAACGTGGCTGCATTCAATCTCAGGAGAAAGGTTTATTAAACTAACATTTAACAAGGTTTGTGAACAACAACTGTTGCGTGATTCTATTTTAACTCCGAAAAATTGCAATTTTGTGATTTATTTGTTTAGCTCCCAAGGTGCACATGATGACACTCTTTTCAGAAGTGGTAAATGAAACAAATTGCACAATTAAATACTTCATAAGGTCACAAATTGTATAACAATATCACATATGTATTATTTTTAAGTTTGTATTTTTAAGTTAAATATACTCTTTTACTTTATCTATTTTTTTTTTACATTCGATTACAAACATGCAATCTTACATTATGTCTGTTCACACATTTCTTTTTTTCCTTGTAGATTTTTACTGAATAATAGTTCTTTTTTTAGCGTTGGTATAGTAAATGTCTCCCACTAAAATAAGAGTCTCGAGTTGGAATTACTTTCAGGACAGAGCAAGTTGTTGTTTAATCATAAGTATGCCTCAGATAGGTCACATTTTCTTCCTTAATGGTCACGCTCTCTTAACAAAGGACAGGATGTGTATATCCCGATGTTACCATGGTAACCCCATTAGCATGTGTTAATGTAAGGATAAGTGGTTCACAGCCAGAGTGAAAGAGCACTCACGGGTTCCAGTGCTCTTTGGAGATTCTGTACAGGCTACCAAACATGATGGGAAGAACTTTGTCGATGTTCTCCTCGATGAGGCTGAGGATGTACTCGTTGTTCCAGAAGTACAGCGCCCGCTCCGCTACCTGCACAGAGCAAAAGAGTTTAAAAAGACTTAAACTAAACAAATTGTGAACAAAACTAACATTGCTTTTTATTTAAATTAAATAATATAATATTTCACATAAAAAAAGAAACAACAGTGTTTTAACAAATCGTATTAAATAATCTGATGACAGAACTGTAAACAGAATAGCTGAAACTTTAACAAAATGAATAACTCAGTTGCCTCTAATCATTAACCCATGTTTGTATCATTGAGTTAACTCCGTGTGTTGCTGCTAGCATACATAACACCTGACGTGGAAAATGTATTCGTGGACGGGGCTACAGAGCTACTAGAAAGACAGTCGGTGCATTCCTCCGTCTGGATGTGGAGCACTTTTTCTAAATGTTTGGACAAATTGCTCGTGTTACCGCCCTTACATGCTAAACCCTTATTGCACTTTTGTTAACGAGCATTGTCCACATCGAGGCGGGTAAAGTTTAACCACGCCATCTTCTCCGTGTGTGTGTGTGTGTGTTGCTGCATGTAGCAGCCGCGTGTGTGTAAACTGCCCCGCCCCCTCGCAAGCAGGCGGGGGAGAGAGATCGAAAATACTAAAAATAATCATGGACGCATTTTGCAGTCTTTTTGCGTATTAGAAACAGAGTTGGCGACACTAAAACTGCAATATAATGTTTGTGTAGCAATAATACATATGACATATTTTTTAGATGTCTCCAGTACCGATAAAAAGACCGATAACGTC